ACTGTATACTACCGACAGTTCGACCGTCGCATCCGACGATGTCAACCGTGGGCGCTTCGTAGTCTGGTGGGCCAGGGATGAGGACTTGCGTAGAATTGCTTGCATCTACCGCACTCTCTCCTCCCTTCACCTATCTGAGCCCGATGTCATGATACAGTCAGGAAGACCGAAGGCGAAGCCGGGCGCAGGTGATCTGAATGTTAACTGTGAGCGTAGGTTTACGATTAGGACTACAGGGTTTAGGATTATGTTAGGACCAAAATCAGAGTTAAAACAGGAGAATATTTATTTTTACTGGAATTATGCGACGAGCCATTTTTATTAATTAGGCGGGGCGTTCCTCATTCCATGCCCTGTTAATGGGGGGTGCGCGTGCGATATAAGTCATCCTTACAGCCCGTTGAGACAGGAAGCTGAATTCTGGATACTCGGCGTGTAGTCTTCACGATCAGAAAATGGATTGGGACGAATTCTAGACCTCTGACAGTATAATCGAGAATGGATAGATTGGGAATAATCACAGCCATGTCAAGTACTAATAAGTGAAGTACATCCTCTAAGAAATAAAGTAATCGAGGAAGGTAGGTGCACAGACAAAAAGGTACATACATAAATGGAAACACTAAACCTAACAAATGCTTTATTTTCTGCATCAATGGCCGCATTCATTGTCAATTTTCTACTAAAGTGTATCGTTTTTTGGCTCTTTGCCTCAGATTTTAGGACAAAAATTCCCGCAATCTGAGAGATCAAAATATATATTTTTTGCTTTTAGAAAAGTGAGAGTTTCACACACAAACTTCTACACCGACTATTTTGTACGCTGCCCTGCGTTTATCCGCTAGCAGAAAATAAACGGCAATAAGGCAACGATAAAATTCGAGCAACTTGCTTCCGACTCCTTGATCTTCGTGAAGGCCAATCCAAATCGTCACTGAAATCCAACGAATTATCCAGGCCACCCCTATTCCTGCCCTGCTGCGGTGCTGTTTGCGGTCGAGCGGTAGGAGGTTCCACGGCCAGATCTGATCGCACGGGAGTTTTCGTTTCACCCGAAGAGAATGAGCCTCCGAGATTGCTGTCCTAAAGAGGATCGGTTAAAAAAGGAGGCGTTGAATCAAGTTATTTTAATGAAACGCGGAAGGAAAGTCAATTCCAGTTAAGGAGCTGACGACGAAGCTACAAACGACTGCGTACGTGACACAAAGCTCTAATACGACCGGTATCCGGTAAAACTAGTCAACACGGAAATACTGTGTATTTTGAGTAGCTGTGAGTTACGCAGCATTTTTTTCAAAAATGGCAACTAAATTTTCCAAAAAGGTTGAAGGCTCGAGTGGTATACCTCCTGGGTCTGAGTATGACTGGCTGACGACGGCTAATAAGCCAAAAATGGCCATCCTAGTCTCCCTTGTCTTTGTCGGTAATGTCCCTCGGTCCAGGAATTATTTTTGGAATTTATTACCCGACTAAATTTGTTTCACTAATCCTCTTAAGTGTTTACGAATGGGCGTTAAAGTTGCTGCTTTTGCGATGACAAACTTGGGGGAAATATGCACAGGTGCAGGAGGCAAAACTTCACTCATTTTAGTTAAAAGAACAGCTGGCACGAGAGTTTTAAGGCAAATGTTAAAATCCTGGGAGAGAGACGCACCCTAGACGTATCTTCGAACAGTGATTACCGAACTTTTGGAAATAGAAAAACTCTGGTGAGTTTTAAAATTTGTTCATACGTCCTAAAACAGTTAAAGTTTATATACTACAACCACTACATAATATTAAGTAGTAATACAACTAGAAATAAATAACATTGTCAGGCCTGTGGTTACTACTGGCTACGTAAACAGCTGGGCGCGAAAAAAACAATTTTTCCTTCATTGTAGTAACGTGGTATCACTACGTCATTTTTGATGTATCACTAGGTAGTGCGGTCATCAGTCAAAGGGCATGAGGATGCATGCAGGCAGCAAGCATGTTTCGCCCGAAAGCAAATGACTGCAACTGCAAAACGAACCGAGACAGGAATACGACTACGCCTTCCTATATGCATACGCCCCGATAATCAAATATACGAAATGTAGTCAATCAATTTTGTGTGATTATGAGTGGATTCGCCGATAAGTGGACTAGGAGTCTGGCTCAATGGCTGAATGTAGCCTCATGGCCATCTCACACACATGTGAGATCTCAGCCGTTCAACCATTTTTTGTGAAAACCTGGCGTATTTTGTGAGCTACATCATGTGGCCCAATCTTAATATCAGAGGACTAAACGGCTTGGACAATGAACTGACGCTTAGGAGAGAAAGAAATCGACTCTGGAGACGGCGTCCTCA